TATAAATGAAGTTTTTTGGGAGGCTAGTGATATTTATATATATATATATATATATATATATATATATATATATATATATATATATATATATATATATATATATATATATATATACATATATATATATATACTTTGTGTTAGTTAGGTTTGTTCTTAAATAAATATAATTCTCCTTTTAATGCGGCGCTCATACGTTGCATAACGTTTCCCCAATTTAGTATTATCTTATAAATCTGCATGCTCAATCCTATAGTTTATTTTCCTTATTTGCTTAATGGCCTTAGTTATATACAGTCTGAAATAGTTTTCAATCACATGCAGAGACTAAAATATAGTATTACATGCAGTAACTACTATTTTATATTAATTTCATTAATGACAAATTTCCTCACCTATAGCAGGAACGGATTACCTTTCTTGGACATCTTATCAGCATGGTCGTATATCAATGTCATAGTTGTTTACGCAGTCATAAAACGCATAGTTTTATTAAGTTAAGTGTAGAGATTTCCGTGCATTTGATAGACGGAATAAAAATCGTATCCCCACGACGGACGACGGATATTTTTCACATATGAAAATGATCGTCTCAGCGTTTTGATTGGTAGGAAGATTTTTCTCAAATTCGGAGAATTATCGTCTCTGTCATGATCAGCGTTTAAATAGCATTTTGTTTGGCAATACTGTTTTCTGTCGGGCCGGGCATTCGGTTGCTTTGCCGTTCTCACAGTTATTGACATTGGCGGACCATTAGATTTTTGAGGGGGAGGGGGGGGGGGGTTAGAAGAATTGTTCTCGGAAGGAAATTTGTTTTTTTCTGCCAAACAGCGCAAGTATTTTTCTCTAGTGAAATAGCTGTGTATGGATTTTTTCTCATCTTGACCACTGCAATATTTTTTTCTCATATTTAAATTTTTCTCGACATGCAAGTATGGAATTATCAAGACAATATCAAATTGTATACAACCTCGACCTGGACAGTAATAATGCTATTAGGAGGTAGTCCGAGTGACGAACGATACTATACGAACCATTAAAGTAGAGAAAACTCCACTTGGCCCAACTGAGATTCAAACTCAAGATTATGATTCAGTTTCAAAATATCAAAAACCCTTGAAGTACCATCTTTCAACGACATGCTCTCGACTTGTCCTGTAGTTCAGTCGGTAGAGCATTGGACTAGTAAACCGAAGGACGTGGGTTCGAATCCCACAAAAGTAGAGTTTTCTACTTGTATGGTTCGTCACTTGATATGGTTCGTCACTCGGAGTAGCTCCTAATATCATGTATACAACCTTCTTAGACATAAAAGAAATGGGAAGGAATCCCTTTCCCAAACGTGTAGGGAGTTAGACCTGTTCCCGGTAGTTTTTCTCTCGCAGACTATCATACTGCAACCACGAACCATTGACACGAATCTTGCAAGTATAATGGTGCTTTGAAAAAAACGTCAGAGCATAAAGCTGATAGCTGAAGGTTGTTTATATATTAAGAAGAGTTACATTCTTTGAAAATTGAAATTATATTCTTTAATATTCTGTTATCACCAAAGGATGTGCAATTCAATAGACCTTTCCCCTTTTGAGTGAAATTTTGATCTAGACAAGTCTGGACAAAAATTTCATCACAGCTTGAAAGAGCATCACAAAATTAGTAATATTCCTAAGTTTCGTTGTAAAATGCGGATAATATAGCCTTGCGAAGTTTGCTGTTTTTCAGTCATTTTGCATTACAAATGGGAACTTGATAATCAGATGATCAAACTGATTATCAATTTCCCATTTGTAATACAAAATGACTGAAAAACGGCAAACTTCGCAGGGCTATATTATCCTCATTTTACAACATTTTGCAACGAAATTTGTGATGCTCTTTCAAGCTGTGATGAAATTTTTGTCTAGACTTGTCTAGATCAAAATTTCACTCATAAGGGGAAAGGTCTGTTGGTATATTGTGGGCTTGTACAGTATGTATATAGTTCATTGGACAAAACAATAAACTTGCAAGATTCTTTTTCATAACCACACGATATTATTACCCTGTACGATATAATATTTTTCGAACTTTCCCGGTGTGATTTTTTTCTTTTCTTTGTTTCTGAGTCTACAAGTTATTTTTTTCAAAATCTTCCAATCCCCCTCCAAAATATAATGGTACGCCCCTTAGTGAAGTCGTGAAAGTGGACTTTTCTCATAAACCAAGTATTAATTGCTGAGAAACACATATGCTAAAGTAGAACCTCTTTTTCAGGAATTATATATAACAAGAAAACGATGAATACGATACGAAATCTAATAGGTTTTGTTTGTGGAAACACCACGTAAATTTATCACTGCAAAGCTTTCGATCCGTAAGCCCGGATCTTCATCAGTGCTAATAATATGAAAAAAAAAAAAAAACCTATTATATTTTATCACCATGCAAACATACAAAGAACTTATGATACGAAATCTGTTTTGAGGCTAGATATACTCACTGATGATTCCGTATTATTCACAGTGAGTCTGCATGTCAATGAAATATATGTATCTCTGTACTCATATAATAAATTAAAACATTACTAACTTCATGGTTGGTTCGTTTAATATACGACTTTTAGTATCTATTGTTAAAGCAACCTTCACAATCGCACGCACTCACTAACCATGAATGTATATTATTTATTAATTACTCCGTTCAACATTTGAAATTCATCCGAATAACGACGTTGTTTACATATAATTTCTATCAAAAGGCTATTGTTCTATGCAGGCTATTGTCTTATAGCTGTCTAATTTGTTGCCTAGATGTATTTATACAATTAAAACTCCATTGAAATGTCTACACCACAGAATTTTAATTGTATTACAGCATGCATATCATCAAAACATTTTCTATAATCAAAATAAGCAGATGATCAGGACCATGTCTCGCACTTCTATTTTCTCTCGATATTTATATTACTGTTTTCTCTCAGTTCTTGTATTATCTCTTTCTTTTCCCGTATCTTTTCTTCTAATTCAAAAATTGTCTCTTTCTGAAACCAAAGCAGACATAGATAAACTATTTAACAAGAATAATAAAAAGTTTTTTGTTTGAGGTTTTTGTGATATCCAGAATTATCAAGGTTGAGCTAAGTGTTATCAGTCGAGACGAAGGCTGCGAGGTTTTATTGTATATTGCATTTTCATTAAAAACTCTTTCAACAAACAATGATTTCTCGCACAAAACAACGTTTGGTTCTCAGAAAAAACAGTGAATTAAACGATTTAATATACTATTATAATAATAATTTTTATTTGATTTACCACAAAAAAAAATTACAAATACCAAAAATCATATATATATACAAAAATAAATGTGGTGAGGAAGCCCAAATAGAAACCATAAGGCTTGTATTTTGGGATAGCTCATTGATTTCAGCTAGATTAAATAACACATGTGCATGATACTTAGGGCAAAGACAGATATTCGAATAAGAATGGAATGAGCCAAATTACTAAATATTGAAATTATATGTAACGAGAAAAAAGAAACGACCTTAAACTTAGATTGAAAACTAAAAATAGATGATGAATTACGTATATCAGGATTCAACATATTGAAAAATTTTGGTCCTTGATAATTAACAGAAAATAGGCAAGTATTTGTCAAATTCTACCACTGCACCAAATTTTTGAGATAACTGTGATATGACCACTGTAGACACTGTACACCATCGCACCATGTAATGAAACATTGATAAATGAGTCACACACCTGTGGTCATTGATGAACTCATTGATGAATCATTCTGTTTTCTTTCATTTTCAAGGGTGTAAATAGCTGATCAGAATTAGTACCCTGGGCTATATCACCCAGAATGAAAATTTCGATTTATAACATCCACCATCTTGCAAACATTACTCGGCAGGCGCTCTCGCCTGTAACCCACATTTTCCGAATCTGCCCGAAATGCTCCCTTAGCGCCTGCGGAGGAGGTAGCACAATGGCACTGTTAGCTCTGGGATCAACATAATTATAGCCTACGGTGTAGACCCCAACAGAAACACGTTTCGTGAGGGGTCTACGAATAAACGAAGAAAAGCTTGCCGGGCCTACGTCATATCCGTTTTACATTTTGGGTAAATTAACTTCAATTTATTCAAATTTCTGAAGCGTGCATAAATGTAAATTTTCATTTGGCGCTTATTAAAATGTTCCATGGCGGACTTTGTGCAATAAAATTTAAACACATGTCCAAACGGACTAAAAAGTTCTTGTCATTCGTACAAACTGTTAGGCTGTTGAAGCCTTGAAGCTTGTCAAGACATCCAATTTCTGAAGTCGAATTTCACACTAAATGTAGCCAGCATAAACGTTTTATCACAAGTCGACACGAATCCCAGTTTCCTCACAACATTTCGCTTTACTTTAAGCGGTATACCAATGGCATCTAATGCTGTTTCGTGCACGTTCATTATCGTATTGTCCGTTTCACCGTTTGTTTACCAATGCCAGACATGCTTTACAAATGCTATTTGTAGGTGAAATGGAGAAGGAAAAGTTGTCTAACTCCTTACGTATGTTCTCCTTGCTGTCCAAGAAATTAATATCGCTTTTTTTCAACAGGACTTTGAAGCAAATAATCGCCATGGAACATTTTAATAAGCACCAAATGAAAATTTACATTTACGCACGCTTCAGAAATTTGAATAAATTTAAGTTAATTTACCCAAAACGTAAAACGGATATGACGTAGGCCGGGCAAGCTTTTCTTTGTTTATTCGTAGACCCCTCACGAAACATGTTTCTGCTGGGGTCTACACCGTAGCCTACATAATTATGATTCAACAATGTGCATAACAATAATGAAAATCTCCTGGAAATCTCTTTTTTTTTAATTCAATGCACAATTTCCAAACTCTCTTTTTTTTTAATTCAATGCACAATTTCCAAACTCTCTTTTTTTTAATTCAATGCACAATTTCCAAACTTTCCAGTCAGTCTGACTATGTCTGCTTTAATATAGCAGTCCAAGGGTTTTATAGAATTAGAGTGAGCACCTATAAAGCCAGAAGGGTCAGAACATTGTTAATTACACACAGCCAAAACATTTTGAAATGCTTAAAATTTCTGACCTTACTGCATATTTCGTGCATTTTCGACTATTTATATCTTTAGTATAAAGTTATATTATATACTATATTTATAACTTACTTTACATTTACATGGAGGGAAGCTGCCGCACTCCTCTGCCCATCTCGTACGCTTATGTATATAGTTTTATTTATTCATAGTCTTATATAAAAATTACAGACTGTTCCCCACCTTTTCAACGGACCAAACTCTATGCTGGATATAAAATCCAATGGCCCCGCCAATACTTGCAGCTGCAACTACTTGAATAAACAGAGATGTTTTTGGACCAACCATGTTATTTATATATTTCGTTTAGAACAAATTTATTTATTCCGTTTCACGGACAGTACACTTCAGATGACTTCGCTCCTCTTTTAGCCGCCATGTTGAATTTCACCGTCGTAATACTTTATGTAAGTTTGTCTAACTGGTTCGTTTGTTCCATTTGTTCCCAGCACAAATAGAGAGAGCAGGGAAGTTCGTTTGTCGAGTTATAAAATATTTTCTAATTTTTCATAGTTGAATTTTTCGCAACTGTTCCTGTTTAGGTTCTAGCAGTTTAGGTCTATAAATCAATGTATAAAATTCACACTCGAAATTTCCATCTACAAAACCCTTCCACCATTCCAAACCTGAACGAAAATTAATCGGGTTATTTTTGTTTAGTTTAAAACTTCCAATAGCTGAATTCATATTAGAAGGCGGATTTCTGTCTGAAATGGGAAACTCATCTAAGACGAGAACTCGTCCAGCAGTGGCGTAACGGGGGAAGAGGGGGCCCTTAGGCATATTTGGTGTGGGGGCCCCTGTTGCTTTTTGTCATTGTCTGACTGAGATATTATATTTATATTGAATATTTATAGAATGCCGTAAAACTCCGTGTCTATAACAATAACTGTCTCCGACACAACTAATAAGAATAACTTTTGTTTTATTTGAGATGGAATAACAATATCAGTTACCGATGTCGACGGAGGCTTTATTAGTTTAGCATTATTAATTTTGCATTTTCCCGTTGATTCTTAACCTGCATTTTTTACGTTTTCTAATTCAGTTCTGGGCGATCGGCCGTGGTTGATGGGGGCCCCTAACTGTCGGGGGCCCTTAGTTTTCGAACTAACCCTACCCAATGAGCGTAATTACGCCACTGTCGTCCAGATATAAATTCGGTCTAACGATGGGTTTTCCGTCTCAAATTTTCCGTCTAACTTTCCCGTTTGAGCGACGGGCGGGAAAGTTAGTTCTTTTGTCTCAGACGGGAAACTCGTTATAAATTTATATCGAACAAATAAAGCAAGACGGGTTTCAGCTCGTATAAACGTTGAAAAGAGACTGGGATGGAGGGTCTCTTATTTTTTCGTGTTTATCCGCCCGATGGTTTTCGTGTCATATTCACATACCATTTGAACCTGCGGACTACATTTGATAATTGAGGCAAATCATGTTTGTTTACTAAGTGCACATATGTATATGACAAACATTTACCCTGAAAATTGCAATTTTAACCGTCAATAATTTAAAAGTAACAGCTGAATAAATAATGCTTACCAATATATTTGACAGTTTTTCCCATTAATATTGAATTTGTTTCCGTTTAAATTAAACTCTTCAACGGTATATAGCAATAGAGGGTCTGGATGGGGGGGGGGGGGGGG